AAATAGATGTAAGGTTTCAAGGAAACGAAAGCATAGAAAGAAATAAAACATTTCAATGTCCACTATAAGGAAATGACGCAATATATGAAATTCACCAAGAGCGGTTTAGAAAAAATTTAAAATGGGTTGATTTCAAATTTGCTCATGTTAACTCAGTTTACCAGATGAATGGGAAAGACGTATTGCTTAACTAAGCCAGCAAAATTAAATGCCAAATAATCTGTTGCGCAGTGTTTAACAGACTCGCTGGAAATTCTGTAACTATATGTCGTTTAGTTACAGAAATGGAGGCCGTTAAACAATACATGATATTCTGCTTTACAGCATCTGTTAGTCGTATAGAGAAGTTCGACTCTCATAATTATATAAATTCTGAATTGAATGAAATTTATGAGTATTTTGACAGAACTGCTAAAGTAAAGAAAATTTAAAAAGCTAAATAGAGGAATGCAACTTTGCAGTATTAAAAAAATTCTTACTTCTTCAAATATTTTGTTTTAGACAATTAAAAGGCATTTGCCATTTGTCAAAAATATTCTTGCAATATTGAATAATTGTAGCAAATGAAACAAGAGACGAAAAATGTATCATTTGTTTTACATGCATTCCTTGCTTTTTGAAATGACTTCTGTATTGATGTTTGATGATGATTTGCCCCATTTCAATTTGTTGAATGATGTACCTCTCTTTCTTTATTATTCCCCTCAATCCTAAAGCTTAGTTTTAATGTCCAATCAAATATTCTTTATCACACATGCATTCAAGTTTTTTTTACTATCATTCTCATGTAAAAACGTAAAACAGTTTGCAAATATTTTATCATTTTTAAATGTCTATGATAGTTAACAAACAATTTTTTTGTTATCTCGATTTAGATAAAAATCCTTAATGATGGTTGCTTCATATATTTTGATGTAGCTACTATTTTCTCTGGCGTATCATTGGAAATATGATATAATATATTTCCAGACATTCATAAATATAAATAAGTAGAACTTTATCTTTAGTTGTGATCAATCAATTCGTTTTTGTTTTCATCATAAGGATCAACATAAAATGATAAAAAGATTTGAGAAACGGTAAAAGATTTTTAAAAAATTTTAGACTAGTCAAATTACCAAATAGGAGCTAAGTATATATGATGATTAGCTGCGCTACTCTAAACTACAGAAAATGTTTAAAAAAACATACAAAAATGTTTCATAATGCTTTAAGTATTTTATAAGATAAAGATTGTGTTAGATTATCTGTTGGATTACGTATAAGCATGACTATGATAAATGAAATATATGGTCTTGATGAAGAAGTTAAATCCATTAGAGCCATTATTTTTGCATTATGTGATAGGCTCTGAATTTTAGGTTTTCTTTATGTTTTCTTTGCTTACCATTGAAGAGGCAATTTGGCTATCAATAAAATTTCTCTTTTGAATTCTGACGAGTTGTTTTCTATTCTTCTCAAACAGCAGCTTAGAAAAAATACAACTGAAGCAGAAATTGTCTTGTCCTAAAGTGCTAGTAATATTGGCATTTTGAATTTTGACATTAACACAAGACAAGTACTTTTCTGTGGACGGAGACACAAATTTTGATGATTTTTCATCATTTTTGGGATAAAGAGCCATAATTGCGGAAATTTAGTGTAAGAAAAAATATGCAACAAAAATGTTGTTTCAACAATTCCAAGAAATATCATTTACATTGAAAATAACAAACCAAATTATTTTAATTTCTTATAAAAACACTCGGGGAAAAAATATGTTTACGATGACGTTATTCAAATTGGTCAAATATTTCAAGTGTCTCTATAAACTAAAAGAAAAATGTGCACTGCAGATGTTAGTTTTCGCTCATAGATAAGATACTATAAAGCTAAAAAAGGAGTATTGTCTATAAGCAACTTTTGTTAAATTTTGATAGCTCATTATAACATGGTTTACCTACTTTTTACTTAACCTAACATGAAACTTTCTAAAGTATATCAAATTCAAACAAGGCTAGTTTCTTAGGTGATTATCTTTATACATCCCATTTCACATGATTTTAATTTCTCATGTTTTTAATAAATTTAGTTTATTTCAATGTATTCATTCTCTTTCCTCTCTCAAAAATGCAGAAAATAAGGACAAAACAGACACATTAGTGGTTGCAGACCCCCTCTCATTTATATTTTCAGAGCACAATTTTCGACTTACATTTTACATGATAGACATGATATTGTGTTTGAAACATCTGTCAGTCGTAAAGAGAATTTCGACTCTTATACTTATATAAGTTCTGAATTAAATGAAATTTATAAGCATTTCGACAGAATTGCTAATGTAAAAAAAAAGTCTAAAGAACTAAATAGAGGAATTCAACTTTAAGTATCAAAAAGTTTTAATTCTTCAAATATTTTGTTTCAGATGATTAAAAGGCGTTTTCCAACTGTTTAAAATATTCTTGCAATATTGAATAATTGTAGCAAAAGAAACAAGAGACGAAAAATGTATCATTGTTTTGCATACATTCCTTGCTTTTTAAAATGACTTCTGTATTGATATTTGATGATGATTTGCCCCATTTCAATTTGTTGAATTATGTACCTCTCTTTCATTATCATTTCCCTCAATCATAAGTATTAGTTTTAACGTCCAATCAAATATTATTTACCACACATAGATTCAAGTTTTAGTTTACTATCATTCTCATGTAAAAACTCAAAACACCTTGCAAATATTTTATAATTTTTAAATGTCTATGATAGCTGGAAAACATTTTTTTGTTATCTGTATTCAGAACAAAAATACTTAATGATGGTTGCTTCAAATATTTTTGATGTAGCTACTATTTTCTCTGTCGTATCAATGGAAATATGATATAATATATTTCCAGACATTCATAAATATCAATTAGTAGAACTTTATCATTGGTTGTGATCAATCAATTCGTTTTTGTTTTCATCATAAGGATAAATATAAAATGACAAAAAGATTTGCGAAACAGTAAAAGATTTTTAAGAATTTTAAGTTAGTCAAACTACCAAATGGCAGCTACGTATATATGATGCATGGTTGCGCTATTCTTAACTATAGAAAATGTTTAAAAAAACATACAATAATGTTTCATAATGCTTTAAGTATTTTATAAGATAAAGATTGTGTTAGATTATCTGTTGGATTACGTATAAGCATGACTATGATAAATGAAATGTATGGTCTTCATAAGGAAGTTTAATCAATAAGAGCTATTGTTCTTAAATTTTGTGATAAGCTCTGAATTTAAGGTTTTCTTTATGTTTTCATTACTTACCATTGAAGAGGCAATTTGGCTATCAATAAAATTTCTCTTTGAATTCTGACGAGTTGTTTTCTATTCTTCTCAAACAGCAGCTTAGAAAAATATAACTGAAGCAGAAACTGTCTTGTCCTAAAGTGCTAGTAATATTGGCTTTTTGAATTTTGATATCAACACAAGACAAGTACTTTTCTGTGGACAGGGACACAAATTTTGATGATTTTCAATTATATTTTGGATAAAGAGCCGTAATTGCAGAAATTTAGTGTCAGAAAAATATGCAACAAAATATTGTTTCAACAATTCGAAGAAATACCTTTTACATTGAAAATAACAGACCAAATTATTTTAATTCCTTATAACAACACCCCGGGAAGAAATATGTTTATTTTGACGTTATTCAAATTGGTCAACTATTTCAAGTGTCTCTATAAACTAAAAGAAAAATGTGCACTGCAGGTGTTAGTTTCCGTTCATAGATAAAATACTATAAAGCAAAAAAGGAGTATTGTCTATAAGCAACTTTTGTTTAATTCTATACCTCATTATAATATGATTTACCCCCTTTTTACTTAACTCAACATAAACTTTCCAAAGTACATCATATTCAAACAACGTTAGTTTCTAAGATAATTAGCTCTATACATCACATTTCACATGATTTTAATTTCTAATGTTTTTAACAAGTTTAGTTCATTTTAACGTATTACTTCCCTTTCCTCTCTCAAGATGCGGAAAATAAGGACAAAAAAAGACAAATTAATGGTTGCGACTCCCTCCCCCCCCTTAACATTTTCAGAGAAAAATTAAGACTAACAATTTCATAAGTTACAATCCTCATACAGGTAAGTGTTTTTTCGTTTTCACCGAATGTATAAAAGCAAAGTTTCTGCACATACTTTTTATTTTTCTATCATAAATTTTGGCGTACTACGTATGTTTGTGTCTTGTTAACATAATGTCAAATCTAAGTTATTTGGGCCCATTACTTGTACAATATGTATAAATGTACATCATTAGATTATACTTTTGAACAATTTTTCTGAAAATATTAATGATTTTCTACAATTCTGTTTTAAAAATATTACATTGTCATTGAATGCAAAACATTCTCTCAAATTTAATCAGTTTCTACAATAAAAAACGCTTTCTGAAAAAAAATCTGCAAAGAAATGTCTCTTTTGTTACGTTGCTTTTGAGTCAGATTGTGTGACAGGGAATATTTAATACTGATTGCAAAAAAATATAAACACCTCTTAAAAAAATTCTTTTTAATGTTTAAATTATTCAACAGCTTAATCCCATTGACGTAATTATATTAGCGTGCTTTAAATTTGCATTGAAATTGTCACGACGACACGCATATAATATTGTTCATTCTCTTCTTTGAGTCACGCAACGTCAACAAGAGTTGTGAATTTTTAGGTTTGAGAAGCCAGTTAGAGAAGTCATAGGACGTAGATGTGGCTCTAACACGCCTTTTTAGAGATTGAACTTTATTTATCATGATTCTAATAAATTTTGCTTCGTCGGGTATCAATGAACCTAATTTATTTATCTTTTATGCTTTAACATCTATCCAAAAATACTTTAGAAAATTCTCTATGCATGAGGCCTTATAATATTTTTCTTGCATTTACGCAGCATAATAGAAAAGCTTTACCTGCTGCTTTAATATTTAAATTTTAGAAATTGCTTATGTGGGAGAATAAAGTAGTTTTTTCTTCTAGCAGCTGAAAAGCTGTTTTGTAAATTTCTAATTGACTATATTTACAATGTATGGATCTCTGCAAAGTAAGAAATTTCATTATAATTTTGCTATTGTTCAACCAAATAGTTTTTGATATATTACAGAGTTAAAGTTTCATTAGTTGACAGAGGTCATTTTAATAAAATATGTCTTCATGTAGCAATGTAAACTATTTGTTATAAAGAATTCGTTGCTAATGTCCTTTTTGTGGACATTTAAATGTCACTCAATCTATTCACTTCTCTTCAAACCATGCAATCACAGATCTGATGCAGAAAAATAACTGAACAACAAACACACTAGGAAATCTATTTGAAAAATAAGGCCAAAACTCCTTTGTTAAAGATTGACTGTTTTTTTGGTTTCGCGTTCATACTTTGCCAGCAAAGTAAGAGATACTTCAAAGAGTGACTAACTACAAAAACCAACCTATGCAACTATCTTTATCGAGCAGCTATGAACATTCCAACAAGCAGACTAATCAAAGTGCTTGTTCAACACGGCAATATCATAGAGCATGATACGTCATTTAAAAACAGATGGATTTAATTATATACTTTGTACTGCATGTCACAAGGTGGTTTATAGTGCTGCTATCGAAAAAATGCTTCCGCCAATACTTTTATGAACATTTAAAGAAAACATTACCACCGACTTTCTCTTCTACTTCCCGAAACAGCTTGAGACAACAAATAAAGTTGATATTCTACGGAATATCTTATCTTGCATTCAACATAGATTCACTGGAGAATGTTATCGATTTTGAAAAACTTTGAATAATTTATGGCTCGGAAAAGAAAATTTAAAAATATCCCAGTGTACAACATAGCAAGCTTTCCAAGTTTTAACAGATCTTTAAGCCAGCTATTATTCCATCCATTAACTGAGTGTGACACAGTGTCTTATTTTTGAGGGTGCGACAAAAGAAAACTGCATTGGATGCCTGGAAATTAATTAATCCTTAACGGACTATTGAACCAAAGAATTACATCGTCAGAAAAAACATCACAAAGCAATCTATGGACGTTATTGAGAGGTCTGTGTTGCTGTTATTTCATTGAATGAAAAGGAAACTGATACAAACTGATTAAATATGCATGCAAAGGAAAAGTCAGTGTAAGTACTTTAAAGGCAATCTGTATTTAAACTGCGCTTTGTTATATGAATTTTATCCATTGCATTTTTACGACAGCTGTACGACCAATTTCGTATGAAAAATCAGTTTCCTCGTATTCACAATTTATTGATTGTAACTTTACTGAACTGATTAGCAAATAGTTCATGTTAAATCGATGCAGACAAATGAACCTGTAAAATTGTCTGAATGTTCTGTTTTAAGAGCATGATACACTACTCAAGTTGAAAAAGCTAGATGTCAACAAAGTACAATATTTTTGGCAATAAACGCAGGAATTGACCAAGTGACCATTTTACACAAACTGTTATCGGTGGATAACTTCGCGAGTTTTTATTGAATTCACTCAAATACATGCTTAAAATAATCGCCGTATGTTTCTTTTTCAAATAAACTTTGATTGGATAAATTTCGATACAATACAATGGCAAGAACTGCGAAAACCCTAATTTTTGTAATACAATCTACATATCTTTTGCCCTGTTGACGCCGTCATTTTGGATAATCATGATGGCCCAACGCGCACACATATAATATGTACGTACCTATGACTACTACATCTATGGTAAAAATAGATATTTTAATATGGCGCAAAGCTCAAATTTAAACACGGTAAACAATTACAGACTTGCATTGTCATGTTATATCGCAAGCTAAGCAAAGAAGATAAAAAATTGAACATGCTTTGTATATTTTAACTGGTCTGAGGCAACGTATTTTAAAAATCTCTTTGTAAAAGCACTTCGACTTTGTTTTGAAAAAATGCAGCAAGCCTTATTTAACGTTGATTGTTATTCTTTCAATAATATTACACGACGCCTTTCCTTTATCGCGTTCCAGACTTTGTTGTGAGCAAAACGCGAGTGCCAAATTGTATTCGAGAAAATGCAAAGTTCGACGCTTGAAACAGGCCTTATTATGCGATGCCCGATGTTACTAAAAGATGTTAGATACAACCACATTTCACGTAGTGATTAGCCGCTGACAGTGCGAGTACGGGCAGATTAAGAAAAAAGGTACGTATAGCGTACATATGGATTTAATTTTAAAAAGACAAAATACTATTAACAAGTCTTCAATTTACCTATTGATATTATTCTAATTGAGAGTCAAGCACAATCCTTAATTAACATATTCATAATCACTATACATAAATTTAAAAGTTGCTTTTTATCGAGGAGATAAAGGGAATTTAACTGAATGAAAATGAACTATTAGTTTGAAAAACAAGAAAGAGAGCAAAGATGAGCATAGCGTCCATGGTCCTAGCTTTATACTGTTCGATCACTAATGTTTTACTTCTATTCTCCTACTACCTCCACTGTCTTTATACCGGCTGATCTTTAATGTAATAATTCTACTCTCATCTGTCGAAAATCATTTGACTAAGAAACACACAACTTGAATAAAATTTTTTTATATATTCATAAATATACCAAATAATAATTGAAAACCATATTTAGGTTGATACAGTATGAAAAAATCGTATACAGTCAAGAAACTTAGACACTTCTCAAAAGCCAAGACCTCTTTTATGTGAAGACACATTTACGACCTTTCGTTAGCGGAGGTGAATACCAAAACAACATTCGCAAACAACATTGTAAACTGTTGTAAGCGGTTGAATTAGTAATTATCCCGACAAATGGACATATTACGGTATATAAATAGATTTTGTTTTGTAATGCACGTAAATTCTTTCGTCTTCTTCATTTTTCTTCATGAACCACTATAGTTTCTTCTCCAGGTTTGCGCATTTAAGTTCCTCAAAGAAAATTTTTTCATGTCATGTGAACTTTAAGCATTGTGTCTGTACAATGACAATATACGTGATGAACTTGTTATATGATAACGTCTATGGACTCAAACGTTTCACTATACAGATGTTGGACTTTTTAGTCGTTATCAAGCATATAATCATATTTCAAAACATTGTAAAACAGTCATATTTAAAAATTTTTATAATTATGCAAAATTAACAAACATCTCATAAGCGGACACCTCCGACAAAAGAACACCAAGTCTTGGTCTTAAGGGTGTCCTTTACGGTAAGTTCGATTGCATTCATTAAATATAAAATGCTTTAAAACGTCTATGCCTATATAGAGTAAAGAATGTTCTGAATTTTCTTCCTTGATGTTTTCCATCGTTACAAACATTTGCTGGCACGGATGAAACTATCAAACACAATAGTGGTCATTTTACGAGCGTGACTAACACTATCTTATCTACGTCATTCGCATTGAATATTAAAGTTTATTACATGTTATTTTGCTATGACATGATTTCTTTGCAAGAAATTTTCAAAACATGTCTCGCATACATTTTACTTTTCTTTCAAGGATCAGGCATGTAAATTTTTTGTGAGAGAAAATTTATGGTTGTTGGTCCGTTATTCATGTGTATTCAGTTATTCCTGGCATTTGAAATGTCCCATGAAAACAGAGAACAGGAAATATTATACCGTGATTTTACGCTTTTTAAAAGAATAAAAATGCAAATTAAGAACTTTCAAGTACACTAAATGAATAAACCAATCTTCCATGTCAAATAATGGTAGATACAATGGACGACAATGCAAATGTGGCCTATGGAGCGTTGCCTGAGAGACTCTACGCCATCGAAGAAGGTAAAGTCGCATACGTGGGCGAACAGGGAGCAATGAATTCATCAATGAAAGCAGCACGTGACTGGCTAGAGTCATATCGCGAGAAAAACACATTTAGAAGATGCACAATCTAACCCAGCGAGCAAGAACCGTACAAAATGCAAACTTCGTATAATGACATTTTGACATATTTTGGCCTTGAGGTTGAGACTGTTGTTTCTTTATCCCAAAACATTTTTTAAGCGATTGACAATGCCCTAATGTATGATAATGTACAAATATGGAAAAACATGTTTCAAAAGTGAGATTTTTACAAGGATGCGTCGACAAAGGAACTTTGAAAACATATACACATGCATATTTTTCTTGTAACTTACAAAAGCTTAAAAATGCAAGACAATGTAGGTTTCTATGCTTTTAGTATATCTAAACGTGGATTATAAATTCAATTGAAATGAATCGACTGTTAGGAGCAACCAAAGTAGAACATGCATATATATTTGAGATCACTGGGGAGTTTTGGTCCAAACAGGCAACCGAGCCAATTGAAATCTGCCACTTTTAAATCATTTTATACACAATAGTGATGGAATTTAGTATGGATAAGTTTAAGGAGCCAGTATTAAAAGACATATAATTGTATTACGTATTGTATACAAAAATGAATCAGAAATAAGTTTGAAAAAGGTAGAAACATTTTTATGAGGTACAGTTAACTCTCTTGAGGGCATTTGCGTGAAAGTTATATACTTAATGTGCAAGAGAGAACCAATAATTTAAATATGCAAATGATACAATGGTTGGCTACAAGCGCAAGCCAAAAACTAAGTTTCAAACGACTTTCTCTCCCTTACAATTTGTAATAGACGGTATAATTTCACCATTCAACTGTCAAAAAGAACTGCTCAATTTTCTTATTTTATTTGGGAAGACGTTATAGCCTATAATACAAATTTACATTCTGTTGTTAATCATATTTAACCACGGTTAGATGTCCCACAACAGTCACAAATGACATTTGACGTATATATATATGTTTATAGATGTAGATCACCCATGACAATAAAGTCCTAAGAAGGACAGTTCGTGTTGATGTTGACTGACGTTTCGACAACCTTAGCGGTAGTCATCTTCAGAGTTCCCGGGTTCAAACCATTCACTTTGAGACATATATAGTCGAACTTCATTCCAACAGCACTTAGTGAAAGAAAAATTATTTAGTGGATAAGAAGAATCTAGACAAATTACTGAATTATACGTCCAAAGCCACGAATCAATGTTGATTGTCGTGAAATGGTATTGGTAAGGTCGAAAGATCAATGCTACTCCAAAAGCGAACTAGCTAGTGAAGTGGGTTACAGCTAAAGAAATGTCAGTGACTATGTAGAGAGTAAGAACTGTGGAAACTATGGTCCAAAACTAAAATCCCAAGAATGAACTGTGGGAGAGTACCCACATTGCTTGGGGAAATTATCACGTGAAAGCCTAAAATCCTTCATAGGTATATAGCATGGCTGGAGGAAGGCTTACCAAATACTATTTAGTTGGTGGTTTTCATAGATTGACTTTACACTCTCCAACAATTGGCCATAACGACATGTTTTGAGTTTTTTTTTAGTGTATAATTACAATGTTTATTATACATTGAAATATTTACAAATCACCTACAACTCATTTCACATATTTTATTAAAACAGAGATAAAATATTTTGGTGTAAGTAAGTTGTTATAAAGCGTAACGTTATTGTGAAGTGGTTTTACCTTATGGTTTCTTGATAGTCCTACACGTAATGGCGGACCTGGATTCTTAATTTTAACACCGCCAAGAAAAAGAACCGCTGGTTTTGTTTGTAAACAGTTTAGGTGAAGAAAATGTTGAGATTGTCCCTCATTTTTCATATGTAACGCTCTCTTTAGAATTTATAGGTGATGACTTTTTCTCCTTTGTACCAACGCAAGAAAATGTGGAAATTTTCCCTTCATTTTTCAAATGTCAAAGTTCTCTTTGGAAGAATTTATAGGTGATGACTTTTTCTCCTTTGTACCATCAACAGGGGTGCATTTGTAGTCGGATGACTCTTTTTAAAACAAATGTGTATCAAAAATTTGTTATTATAAGCACTCGTCAGAAGAAAAACTAATAAGAATAACACGAAAGACAAGCTGCGAGCAAATGCAATTACGTATGTATCAAACTGTTTTGATATTTTGATTGTATAATCATGCCAACTGCATTTTGGTTATTTCATTATATGCAAATAGGACACTTGAAATCAATGATAATTTTTATAAATACAAAAATAAAGCCTACCGGAAAACATATGACTCCCACCAGACATTCTCTTGCCGTTCTTCAGGTTCACAATTTTCTCTTCATTGGAATCACTTTCGACATCATGGTCATGAATCTTGTTCACTTTAGCACTACTCTTATCGCAGGTGTCACGTGAATCGCAGGTGTCGCGTGCATCATCATCTTAATTAGATTAAATGAGTAAGAGAGCAATCAGCATTATATGTACATGGTACTGCATCTTACCTAATAATGATGATGTATTTTCATTTTGAATCACACACTACAATACCATGCAAAAAGTCAATTAGAAAATTTATCACGCCATTAAAAGTAGTACTACATGCAACACATAACTATCTTCATAGGTACATCACTATCTTCATCCATACATCACTACCTTCATAAATCCCCACTCCACCTTTATGTATCCCCACCATACCTTCATACATTCCCACCATCATACATCCAAACCTTCATGCATCCACAACTTGATACATCTTTAACTTTATGAATACCCACCCTTATACATACACACCTTCATCCATACACACCTTCATCCATGCACACCTTCATATGTCCGCACTTTTAAACATTCCTAATTTTAAGGCTACCCAGTTATAAGTGTGATTGATGGATATATGCTACTATGTGCCTAAATTCAACAGTTAAATTCAGACCACTAAGAGTGTTGACTAGTTTATAAAACTCTGAGAAAATCCTTCTCTGTCCTCATTTAGTACAGTATAACAAAGTTGTCATTTTCAAAACTTGTGCTTTTGACTGATTACTCTGTAAACATTATGAGTTTAAAATTAAGGGCTTTGTGATGGGGAAAAAGAGTCTTACTAAAAATGTGAATTTGAGTTCAATGTAAGACAGCATTATATAATGCTTAACAATGAAAAACTTTCAAAATTCTAAAATCATTGTTTGAATTGGATTTACTTCATTACTGCCTAGATTAGGGCAGCTTCCCAACCTTTTTTCCTCTTTCATGATGAAATCATAATGTAATCTTTTATGATGTAATCACTTTTCACAGTTTCATTTATCATTTTACATACCGATACCTTTACTATTTATTTTGATATGACTGCTTTCTTTTTGTCCAACATCATTATCCTTTCTGTCATAAGGTGTATTTATTAGTGACATTTCAATTGCTTTTTCTATATCTCTTTGGTACAACTTTTCACGAACAGAAGGCCTTACAATAGAAAAAATCTCATGACGTTGTTGTATCACACATTGAAGAAATTAGTGTGTACATTGGATTACACAAGGCAAAACAAAGGCTTATAAAGGATTAGAGATCTACTCTAATATCTGTGTAAAACAGCATGATGCCCTTTAGCCAAAATTAAAATCTATTTTGGGTCACACCTTCTCTCGCCTTTCTTCTCTTTGTTCATTTCCTTCTCTTTATGCTTCGCCTTCTTTGTTTGTGGTTCAAAATCAACTTCAAAATCATCTGAAACATATCATGAAGTCATAAATACAAAAACTTAGCAATTTAAAACAAGAGAAATCTATAGAACATGGAGGCATGACATTGAAAAGGAAGTAAAGTATGGATCCCCATATATATTTATTGCATATCTACCAAATTAATAATCTCAACTTTTTCACAATAAAACAATGTAAAATGTTTAATAGTGCACTAGATCAATCATGCAGCCAGTAAATAATTGTGGGGCCTACATTCACATTTGTTGCATCAGTATTTTTTTGAACAGTGTCTATGTAGGTACATGTAAACTGATCCAATATAAAATGTCCCCTTCTCCTACCTATGTAAACCAGAGTGTATAACCACATACTTTACTGTAAAACAGAGCAATTATAATTTTCATTAATAGCTACGTAGCTATGAGATCACTGTATGTACATTACATTACCATCACTTTCACAATTGGAGCTCATATCAGTATAATTAACATTTTTTCTCCCTTTCCTACAAGAGATGATGGTGAAAAATAAAACATGAGTAAAGCTAAATGCTTGTAGATGTAGATCTTCAAGGTTCGAGCAGTCCTGAAAATGACTGTTGGTGTTGTTAATGATTGATATTTTGACATCCTTTGATCATCAGAGTCGAGTAACACACCAACACCAAGAATTCTTTTCAGGACTGCACAAAGCTGGACGATCAACATCTAAAAAATATAACATAATAGGCAATAAAAATTAGAAATTCCAATATGAAAATCGTCCCTGCTTTATTAATCACCAATATTTTCAACCAACAGTAAAACTTGTTTCACCCATACGCCATAGCATAGTAGTGATAGTACAAATTGGAATCAAGTAACAAATTTTAGAATTCTTACCTTTTAGATTTTCGCTTAAAGGTCATCTTTAATGCATATTTACAAAATTAAAAATTATGCTATTAGAGAAAATACTAATGAAGTTAGGATTCAAGTTTAACTTCTCGTGGTTTTAACATGATTTTCATTATGTAGTTGAATAATCTTATAAAGTTTCGCGCCTTGGCGTCATTACACTGGATCATATCATTACACTGGATCATACACTGGAAAAATGCATTTTTGTGTATTTCTTTACTTTTAAACTCATAATAGAGCTTAACAAACAGTGATACATTATTAAAAAAGTATTTTTGTCTTGTTGAAACACTGCTTTAGGCTTTTAAATTATTTAAATCAAAGTTTGCTTCTGCTGAAAGACCTTGGCACCTGTAAAAGGGGGTAAGAAATATTTAAGTTTCCGTTGGTAGTAATCGTAAAGAATGTCAATCACAACAAAGATACCACCTTTACAGCTAAAAAATTTACCATACATTGTCAAGAATAATTTTAAAAGAAAAATTTAATTTCCTGCGAAAGATGAACGATTGTCTGAATATTATCTACAAGTACAGCTCGTATTTAAGCACTTTTACTTAGGATTTCTTTTGTTTTGTCTTTATATATAACCAAGGAAGGGAATGGCGCAAGCATCACAGCGCAAAAAAAAACGGTATATTTGTAATTTTCCGTGAGATGAAAAGATTTTTTCTTATAAAGCATGTAAAATTGTAAGCTTGGAGTAAGAAATTTATACATAACATAAATTCAATGAGCTCTCTTTTTGGTCGAGTCCTGTGGTTAAATCAGGCCATCGAAACACCGAAATTTAAATAGCCAAAATGAAATTTAGAATTTTCTGAATATTTTTTTTAAGATCTATCAGAATAATTAACACCGAAATGTGTTCATGTGTACTTTAAAATACAAATCACGACAGAGTTCAAGAGCTATACTACTTTTCAGGAAATGTTAGTGATGCATTGAACTATCATAAAGACACGGCGTTTTCAACAAAAGATTCTGATAATGACAAATATGAAGGAAGCTGCCCTGCTTACTGGCAAGGCGCTTGGTGGTATAATAGTTGTTATTATTCCAACCTAAATGGTAAAAATCTTGCTTGGCTTGGTTTTAATAACGTAAAAACCAGTGAAATGAAAATCAAACCATGAAGAATTTTCATAAATATTTATAATTTCAAGGCAATGATCAAAATCAATGTCAATACGTCATGTTATATGTCTTAAACATTTACATTCGTTGTTTCTATGAGAAAATGTGCAAAAAATTGTTATAGATAGAAGTCAAGAAAACTGTAATTATTTCATGAAATAATAAAAAATATTGTTTCAATCAATGATATTGATGAAGTATGAGTTTCTAACATGTTTATCTAAATGAAGTTGATGTAATCAAATCATACTCAAAACGACTTCCGTTTTTTGAGTTTGTAATGTGACTGTTTTCGTCTTCGTGGGCATGAAATGATTTTTCACATTATCAATGCTTACATAGTTACACGTTTAAAAGCATTTAACTAGTGCTATTGTGGGCATCAGCCATCTTGGGCGAGCCACATTGTTCGATAAGTCCCTGGAGGTTGGTTGCAATTCAACAATATAAAACCCCTAAACACAACCACAATCGCTACACCTAAATCGCATTTAACTGCATTACAAGAGCAATATATGTGGTGCTTTAACATGATCTCAAAGAACAATCTCACGAAAGTTCAAATAACAAAGAGTTGATTTTGTTTGAACGAAGTGGACGCTGAATTCACAAGTTTCTATTTCTATGTATGCTCACTTGAATGTTCTCTTGGAGTCAAAGTTCCCTGCTGTCAACATTAAAGTATGTCACTAGAGCCTTCGAATTTCATGATTTGTGTTTATCATACATATCCAAATTAACATATATATTACATTTAAAGTAGTTTATGGCGGTTTTTTGTTGAAATCATTTATACTTAATGACCAAGTATTAATCATTGAAGAATTATTCAGATAGCTGCAACTTTATATATGTTGTCAACTTGACACGGACAAAATATTAGATTGAAGGCCAAGCCTATTGTTAAAATTCAATGCATTGGAAAACGACATATCAACAGTTTTACCAAGAACAAGCAGTTCTTCAATGGTGGAAGAATGTAAGTTATACTCATAATATATCTAAAGTTTGTAAATCATATAACTATAAATGCTGAAAGATTGGCTACCGACTACTGTTCTTTACAGTCTGCACTCTGCAGAAACAATTGAGTTAGCGTAGCCAGAAAGCAAGCCTTTCTTGGCTTTATTGGTTTTCGGAAAAAAATTTGCCATACTATATTCAAAACATGTGCATGTCCTGTCAGCCTGTCAGTGCTGATGCTTGTCCTCCAGAAGCGCCTTAGCAACGATTGCTAGGATGTTAATGACGTAGATGCAATTGGTCTATAGAAACAAACAGTAGTCTCAATTTACCGTGTAACTTTGTGCTGTATATTTAATTAAATTACTGGCTGCGACTCGCCACCTTAGCACTCCTATTGGTCAGAAAATACAAATTACTGGCTGCCACTATGCTTATTACATGCGTAATAAGATGTGCGCTACACAAAAAATTTCTATAAAGTGAAACTATTGTTTGTTCAATACTGCCGTTAGATCAACGCCGACTGTTAAAATAAAGGCATCTGATCAATAAAGTTAAAGGTACGTTTTTTGAGTAAATTTGACCTCTGACATAATATGACGGATGTCTTCAAGTCAAAGAATTGTGATGTCAATAAATAATGAATTATTATTAGTTTAGGGCCTGTTCATATGTGCCGGGCTGGCCGACTTTGCTAGGCCAGTTTTTTATTTGATTCGCATGAGGCGGGCTAGCCCGACAAAGTACGGAAATAATTATTTACGCACGCAGCATAAAAGTCCAAATCCCGATTGTTTATATTACTTTTATAAGTTGAAAGAAACTCAATGATGTTATGCATTAGTCTATGGTCCGCCTAAAGTTGCTCTTTTGCTCGCCTTGTATTTTGCATCGCATTGATTTTTATGAGCATGCGCACTAGTACGATGTTTAACACGGCATGCCGGTCTAGCCCGCCTTGTGCATTCACATGAGCCCGTTTATGCCGAGATCCCGCCTCGTTTAAGCGACATCCCGGTAAAACAGGCCAGGCCCGCTCATATGAATCAAATTTGAAATTATATGTAAATACTAAAAGAGGTGAGATCTTGCTACTGCCGGGCTAGCTCGGTAAAGCGGGCCAGCCAGCTCATATGAACAGGCCCTTGTATACATACACTTGAAATTGTAAACACCCAGTTTATAACTTATGTTTAGATTATGTGTATAACTTACACTTTCCATAATTACAAATTGTTTTCTCTTGCAAATAAGTGTTTCATTATCGTTACACGAGTTAATTGTATTCAAGTAAGTCTTGAATGCAATGAAGCTTGTACGTTGGCATGGCTACTATGTAACAGAGAACATGCATGTTAAAGTCTGATTGGATCTACATGCTCTTACATATTCAGTCATAACAAATATATATAATCAAAGTTTTATTATGACGAAACTTTTGTAATGGTTCAAAACTTATTATTGCAAAAAAACACTTGTCAGTCGTGTACTTGTGAAAGTGGTAGCCGGTTTTTCTAACTGCAGGCGTCGAATTATTCTAACGTTGCACTTTATTCAAACAACATACTTACGTATAGCGTGATCGAATTCCTTTATAATTTATTGTGATTGTGGGCGCTGATCCAACCTTGCATCTCTATAATTACAGGATTTAAAAAATGCGTATATTATAAGTATACTTACACCTTCCCACTAATGTATATTGTGCTGTTTCATGGCTTAAGTAAGTATATCATTTTTCAATGCATTTGAATTTTTACAATAGGCAATATAGCTCTTCGATGTCATAATACCTTGTGATTTTCAAGTTAACACCATATATCTAAAGTGATTCTTGAATGATTGATTGTTCAGTTGACACAAGAGCACATTCAAATGAACATACATAGAAATAGAGACTCCCGAGAGCTCAGGTAGCAACAACTTTGCACGAACTTTTCAATGCAAATTAGAGTTTTTCAACCTACCGCGACTTGCGTGAGTTAGACAAACTCAAAGTGTTGTATACCAACAAATCGAAAACATTAAACAAGATTCCAAAATCCCAAGAAGCGTGTTTTTAGTATACTAAGCATTGCGGCGGATCTAATAAGAAGAAGAAATTTTTGCTTATAAACTTAACAGAATTTTAAAAAACACTTGAGAAAAACGACGATTTTTTTGAGAGCAAACATGTTTCGACATTATCAGAATGCCATCTTCAGTGCAGAATGGTTAGTGTTAAGTAATATGATACGTAATATGATATGAATAAATTAATTACAATGAATAGGATTATGATTCAGTTACTAAATATAAAATATTTACAAAAAAGGAAAAGAAAAATAAGTATTAAGAACTTATAACAAAAATATTATTATAAAGTAAATATAGTGTTGTAGTGGTGAACTTGGATATTTAAATCGGGATTAGTTTTATTAATGTGTAGAGCTTCCTTGATTTTGGTGAGAAAGTGGATTGATCAGTGTCGATGATTTTAAAACAGGAAGGTGAGAATTTGTTTTTACATGAAGGAGAGGCTTGAAGATGTTTGTAGATAGTGGAGTTTTTGTCTGTGTGAGTATGTTCCTTTATCCTGGTAGATAATTGGCGAGAAGTTTCACCAATATAGTGGGAATTACATCCCGCACATGAAAATTGATAAACTACCATAGATTTGGAAAGTTCGGGAAGTGGGTCTTTAAACGAAAATAAAGATTTTATTTTAAAAGATGTGAAAATAAGTTTAACGTCAATGTCAGTGCAGTAGCGTTTAATGATTTGTGTGAGTTTGCGTTGTGTGTGTCGTGAGTAATCACCTATGTAAGGTAGTTTGAAATAACGTTTATTGTCATGTTGTTGTATATCGTTAGTGTTAGTTGTGGCGTTAGATGAGTCAGTGCTTATCTTGTTGTCCAAATAGTGTTGTATAGTGTTGTTGATGAAATGAAAAGGGAAAGAATTACGTTGGAGAGTGAATATTAGTTTCTTTAAATCACGTTGAAAGCCGATGTCTGTGTTGTTAAGTTTCCGTGCTCTGTCGGTCAGTGTTCGTATCAGTCCAATTTTGTAATTTAATGGTGTGAAACTAAAAAAGTTAGTCAGTAGTCCTGTATATGTTGGTTTGTGGTACGTAGAGGTCATACAGTTTTCATGTGATTTAGTTAGT